TACTACTACTACTACTACTACTACTACTACTACTACTACTACTACTACTACTACTACTACTACACACACACACACACACACACACACACACACACACACACACACACACACACACACACACACACACACACACACACACACACACACACGCACGCACGCACGCACGCACGCACTTATTCCTATTCAATTGTAGTCGCTAACAGTCACTTACTTACTCACGTACTCACCCTCTCGTTTACGCACCAACTTAACCACGTGCTCACTTATCACAATTACATGATTAGTACGTAGTGAGACGTTAAAGTAAAGTGCGTTGGCGGTGTTTCACTTCACAAGTGCTGCAGCGTTATGGTGGTATTATAGTGGTACGTACGGCTCAACCGTAGTGCTACAGTATGTGCACTGGCGCATACACGAGCACATACTCCTCTCTAAACGCTCATGAAACAAAAGTAAGCACATTTATGAAATGAACCATTCCCATTTGTAACACTACTCGAATTTTGTTTGTTACCATTACAGCGTATTTAGTGAGGCTACATTTTGCCGGATCTGCCACGATGTGGATCGAGAAGAGCGGCTTATCTCTCCTTGCCGATGCACGGGGTCTATCGGTACCGTCCACCAGTCATGTGTTGAGAAATGGCTGATGTCATCTAATACGGACGCATGCGAGCTCTGCAGATTCCACTATATCACACAGAAACAGACTCGGCCGTTCTTAGAGGTACATATTAACATTATTATATACACACTAGTACAGTAGCAGTAAAACCTGCACGTGATTTCATATAGCATTAAGTACTCGAGTCTATTATATATATATATATGGTACGTAGCTACTCAAAATATTCTTTGTATTTTTTGAACACCATGGTCAACCCCATCAAAAATAATGAGACAACAAATCTTTGAGTTTATATGACGATTATAACTTGCGCGCCCCCTATTCTTGACAAATGCCCTTAATATTATTTGACAGTGGTTGAAGGAACCACCAAGCCGTCAAGATCAAAGGCACCTTATCGGAGACGTGGTTTGTTTCTTAGTGCTGGCACCACTTGCCTCGGTCAGTGCATGGCTGTGCATCAAAGGAGTGCTGCATTATGTACAATGGGAAAACCAATGGGAAGCTGCTGGCCTGATCTGCCTCACATCTTTCCTCATAATTATTTTCCTTGTTTGGTGTTGTGTAAGTGTTTTATATCACGAGAACATCGACACGATAAATATCGACCTCAAAATGTTAGCCTTTAGAAAATAATCAGAGTAAAACATACCGTTAAGTAATTAAGAGATAAATTGCTTGCTGTTGATTATGCTAACGTGACACTGTCCAGCCTACATCATGCATTTTATTTTTTGTAAGAAATGTGTTCTGAATGTAGAAGCAATTATTGTTCTCGTATGTTCACAGATCTCTAGCCACTACCATTACAAAGTATTCAAGGAATGGCAAAGTAAAAACCCGATTGTTCGTGTAGTGGGTATCTGCGAACTCGATAGCACACGAAACAACACCCATGCACATAACGCCCAAGAAGACATGATATTTGAAGAACAAGAAGAATCGGGTATATCGGCTCATTGTTTTGTCTGTCCTAACATATGATCACTACCTCGCAACGATCGCGCACACGCACACGCACACGCTCACACTCACGCACACGCACACGCACACGCACACGCACACGCACACGCACACGCACACGCACACGCACACGCACACGCACACACACACACACACACACACACACGCACACGCACACACATACACACGCTTACACACGCGCGCGTGCATACACACACGCGCACATTATCAGGATGAAAATACTATTATTATATATTAATACATCTACTACTAATATTATTATTCTACCACTGACATTATAGGTGGCAGCCATCGGTTTATCCTAACCGTTTCTAACTCATCGCATTTCAGAAAATTCCTATACGGACAATGGCCAACGATTCCCAGCGACTGACGATGTTGCCATCGGATTCCCGAGCTTACTGGGTGCTGCTGCGAACACTGTGCCGTATCGGGATTGCGAAACCGAAGCCGCAACCGAAGAGCAAGCGCAATGTTCAGACCCGCTACGTGAGACGTTGGTTTGACGGAGTGTCCCAAATATTTCATCAGACAAACATATAACCAGCGTGCTTTTCCGTTTTGGAAAAATGCCAGTAACGGATTTAATTAACTACGCCATAGCAATACGATAGTTGTAATCGTTTTAACACGAAGTTTCACGAAGTAACACGTCTTGTGTAAAATACGTGTCGGTAGCGAAGCCCATTGCAAAGTGGCTGTGCTTACATGACCAACGTAATTACGTAAGGATATTTACAAGTGCGTTTATACATTTTTTACATGATTATATTTTACGAATAATGAATTTTAGGAGGTTAAAGATATTAATCCCCAGTGCTAACATTAGTAACATGTACGTGTGTGCAGCATAGGCATTGAAAACATACTCACCATGAAAGGATTTATCAACTGATATTTGCAACCGCGCATTGGATACATCAAACACGAAAAGTACCAAAAATATTTATCATATATATTAATTAATTTAACATGTTAAACTAACCTATTTATACAATATTTATAAGTGCAAAATACTACTATTAGACATCACACTAACGCGTTACTTGTGATAAATTTACACCGTTGTGTTTTGAACTAAACTTTGATACTAGACTTTCATGTACTACGAACTATTTATTATTCCCTACTGTGATTACGAAGAGCAAATAAAAAATACTATTGAGAATGAGATATGGCCTTAAATTCGTATTATTAGTAAGAACAACGATGACCAGAGCGGGACACAAGAAGAATGAGATTATCATTTTAATGGGAGTTATCAAATGAGAGTCACTATTTTCATCAAATAGTACAATTTATAATAAACAATATCTACTTGTACTCGATATTTGCTATATTCGCACTTGCTACGAGATTACACTTCATACCCCACTAATACCTATAGCTATTAACCCTCATGTTAATTTAAAATGGTATCCGCAGATACTCTTCATCGGGGCCTGTGGTGCGGTAATATGTGGTTGAGGAGTGTGGGGTAGTGTGAGAGGGGCTGTGATGCGGTAATATGTGGTTGAGGAGTGTGGGGTAGTGTGGGAGAGGCTGTGATGCGGTAATATGTGGTTGATGAGTGTGGGGTAGTGTGGGAGGGGCTGTGATGCGGTAATATGTGGTTGAGGAGTGTGGGGTAGTGTGGGAGGGGCTGTGATGCGGTAATATGTGGTTGAGGAGTGTGGGGTAG